GGGTATGGAAGCTGGACCCTGGCTCCACGGATCTACTGGGGTTGAGCATCATGTGTACCCGACTTTCTTGGGCCATGCGAAGACGATATTTTTCTTTCCAATCGTGTTTGTGAACGCGTTGACACGTGTGCTTTCCCTGTAAACACTGCCGTACTTCCGAGTGGGAAGCGAAATTTTCCTTGTGATAAAAGTTAGGTACGTTGTGGGAGATCCAGGCTAAGTGAAGAAACGGGAGGCGTGAACATTCCGTCAGCAGCACTCAGCGTTCCCTTCAATAAAACGAGATCCCTCCATTCTGCACCACCAGAAGTATAATTATTGACATTGGGCATGATATCACCGGGTCGCCGCCTCCTCCTCCTCCGCCGCCGCCGCCCATGCCGCGCCAGCCGCGGATGGTTCCGCTGAGCCATCTCCGCCTGCTCTCCGCCGTCGTCGCCGCGATGGTTCTATCACCCGCATGTGTGCGCTCCCCGCCACTCGCACGCGCGCAGCTCTGGGCCAAGTCGCAGCGTGAGTGACTTTTGATGCGCCTCAAACTCTGCCACGCTGATTCTGTCGCCCGCATTTTTGCTCTCCCCATTGCCGCCACTACTAGCGCGCGCTTAGCTCCGGGCCAGGTCGCAGCGTGAGTGCGTCGGGCCGCGTTCTTCGTGCCCGGCTTAGTCATTGTAGGTTCTCTAGTCCGGCCGGGATAGTAGTAAGCTTACACGCGCTTTCTAGGTCGTTGCTACTATGTTGCGCGGCATCATAGAAATCATGGAATGCAATGCACCATCTTATACCCGGCCTCCGGCCGCCAGCCCGTGGCATGGAGTCATACATAATAACCTGCTGAAGTATAGGCCTCCGCATCCCACCTGCTTCTCTTCGTAAAAAGTAGTCATCGTAGAATGCACCGTCTTTTACCCGCCAATTCCTTAAAGCAAGAATCCTACCTTCCCCCCTCCCCCTTGCAATCCCCAACTCCACTCTCTCCCCGTCCTCCCCTTCTTCACCCTCTCGCTTCACCCTACCCCACCCTTCTTTCCCGTTCTCCCCGTTTCTCCCACTCCCGTCCTCCCACCCCACTCCCCCCACCTCCCCGTCCCCCGCGTCCCCTCCCCCTGCTCTTCCCCGGCAGTGCCGTTTCTGACGGAGTGCCAGGCGGCATGGAAGCGCAGTTTCAGCGGATGGGACGCCACCTCCAACTGCAGCAAGGCCGTGTTCGTCACATGCGACCAGGACGGCATGCTCACCTCCATGTGCGCTCATGGCATGGCATGGCATGGCATGGTGTGGCATGGCATGGCATGGCATGGTGTGGCATGGCATGGCATGGCATGGCATGGCATGGCATGGCATGGCATGGCATGGCATGGCATGGTGTGGCATTGCGTGGCGTGGCGTGGTATGGCATGGCCATGTCATGGCATGCTCACCAGCATGTGGGGCACATCATGGGAAGGCATGGTAGCATCCAACCTCACCATTCTTTCTCGCTCGCACCCTTTTATTCTCTTATCTCTCATCCGCCCACCCGCTCCCTCCTTCCTCCTCTCGTCCCCCGCTCCACACTTCCGCCCGGCGACCGCCTCGCACGGCCGCCAGGGGCCTCTTATATCCCAGTCACTCAAAGAGACCGCCTGTGTCACCTGGGATCACTCTCCTGTGGGACTGACTGACACATGCATCGCCTCCCTCTCGTCCCTCCCCTTCCACACCTCCGCCCCTGCGCGGCTGCCAGGGGCCTCTTGTCGCAGTCGCTCACAGGGTTCCTGCCATCATCCGTGGGAGCTGCCACACGTCTCTCCAGTCGCTGCATTCACGCGCGTGGCAACAGGCGCATGCCTGTGCATGCTCAGCTCTATGTGTGTGTGTGTGTGTGTGTGTGTGTGTGTGTGTGCGTGTGTGTGTGTGTGTCTGTGTGTGTGTGTGTGTGGTGTGTGTATGTGTGTGCGCGCGCGCGCGCGTGTGTGCGTGTGCGTGTGTGTGCGTGTGTGTGTTTGCGCGTGCGTGTATGCCTGTGCGCGTGCGTGTATCCATGCGTGTGCTTGCTTGTGTCCGTGTGTGTGTCCGTGTGTGCATGCACGAATCCCAACAGCGGCTTCTACAACAACATGCTGACCGGTTCCATTCCAGACACCATTGGCAACCTTCTCTCACTCGAATCCTTGTGAGCCACCTCACCAAGACACGGCACACCACAACACACCACACCACACCACACCACACCACGCCACACCACGCCGAGCTGCACCTCACCCACTGGCCACAAGAGTGAAACCCCACCCAACGTACAAATCCTATGTCTCTTGTGCTTCCTCGCTCTATCACCTACCCTGTCACCTACCCTGTCTAGGCATGCAAGCACCATGTCACAGGCCGGCCGGCCGGCATGCAGTCAATATCTAACTCGCCTCAGCCATGCTCCCTCCCTTCCTTCTGCTCACTCCATGGGACGCTCTCGGCAGTGATCTCACCACCAACGAATTCTCAGGAGGCTTGCCTGCTGCTATTGGGAAGCTCTCTTTGCTCACTTTCCTGTACGCTCGCACTTCATTTCCCTCATTGCCCTCACTGCCCTCATTGCCATCATTTCCTGCATTGCCTTCTTCTGCCCCTCTCATTGCTTCTCTCACACTTTCCGCAACCCTATCCCGCCATCCGTGCCCCTTCTTTAACCTCCATCACCCTCGCCAGCCACCACCCCTCCCACTCTCCCGCCACCCTCATTTCGCCACTCCCACACTCCCACTCCCACCTCCCCGCCCTCGCCCCGCACACCGCCATCACGCACGGCAGGTCGGTGACTCAGAACCGACTGGGTGGCGTTGTTCCCAGCACCATCTCCGCGCTCACCAACCTCCAGCAGCTGTCAGTCTCATGCACGCATGCATGCATGGATGCATGCATGGATGCATGGATGCAACTTGCGCCTGCCAGCACACACTGAAGAGTACCTTGCCTCGCCTCAGTTCCCTCTCTCTCTTGCTCCTGCTTTTCGCCCTGCCCCTCCATGCACCCACATGCACTGGCATGGACTGGCATGCACCTGCGTCCCTGTTTCCCTCTATCTGTGAACCCCTCCCTGGCAGGGGCCTGTACAACAACTCGTTCTCGGGTTCCATTCCCCCTGCCATCTATGGGCTCAAGGCCCTCACCCTGCTGTATGCCATACATGCATGCACCCATGCATGCACCCATGCATGCACCCATGCATGCACCCATTCATTCTTTTATTCACGCACCCGTGCATGCGCCCATGGATGCACCAATGAATGCACCCATGGTGCATATGCTTGCAAGGTTAGGCTGCAACCAACAAAAATAGTGCGGCCTTGGTAGGCTTAAGAGCACAGGTCGCAAGACTACCTTGGAGGAGGGCGGGATAGGTGGGTGCGAGAGGAAGGAAGATGTTGAAACCATGATGGCATGTCACGCCATGCGATAGGGAGAAGATAGAGACCATGATGGCATGTCACGCTATGCGCCCCCTCAGTCGTGGATGAGCAGGGTAGGACGCATTAACTTAATGGGGCCCTTCCCCTCACAGCATCTTTTGAAGAATCCTCAATATTCCCTGCCTCGCCCTGCATTCCTTCCCATGAGCAGGGAGGTAGGGCGCAACTACTTCACAGGGTCGTTCCCCTCACAGTTTGGTACCCTGTCCAACCTCGTGTACCTGTGAGCCTCCGCCCCTGCTTGCTTTTTGAGGCGCCTCAAAAATAACCTCGAGTACCAGTGAGCCGCCCCCCCTGCTTGCTCCACCTGCATGTGCCCATGTGCCCTTGTGCCATCAGCCATGATGCGCCATGTGCCATGTTTCTTTTTGCAATGAGCCGTCCTCCATCCATGTAGCAGCAAGCAATCATGCAATGGGCTTGTTCCCTTTGGCATGCTTCCCTGCCCACGCTTCACCACCACTTGAGAGCACGCATCCCTCAATATACCCTGCCATGCGGAAATCCATGCGGCATGTGGCATGGCGTGTGGCATGGCAGGGAGGCAGGCAACATGGGTCTTACAGGCGAGCTGCACTCGAGCCTGGGCAACTTGAAGTATCTGCAGGCGATGTGAGTCCATGGAGGCAGCACACACACACACGCGCACACACACACACACACACACACACACACACACACACACACACGCACCACGCACGCACCCACGCACGCACCCACGCACGCACGCACGCACGCACGCACGCACGCACGCACGCACGCACGCACGCACGCACGCAAGCAAGCAAGCAAGCAAACAGACACAGCAACATGATGAATTGCATCTTCGCAGCATGATGAACTGCGTACCATGCACCCAGCCCCCAATGCTTTGACTTGCCTACACACAACACGAGTCCCGAAACACTCTCCACACACTACGCAACACGGAGGACGCAGCACTCATTACCCGACACTCAAACCTATTCATGCATGACTCAACCCCCATCTCTCTCCTCGTTTCTCCCCACCCATCGCCCCGCCCCGCCCATCACCCCACCCATGGCCCCACCAGCTATGCGCGGGAGAACGCCCTCCAGGGCAGCATCCCTGCCATTCTGGGTAGCCTCAGCCGCCTCACCACCATGTAAGCTCGCAGCTCCACAAGTGACTCTCAAGTTGACTAAAGAATCACCTCAGTCTGGGTCACCTCATGACCCCCCTCAGCGTCATTACATCATACATGACAGCAGCGCCAAAAAATACCAGTTCCATTGCCTTGCAGGTATTTCCCATAGTTCTCTCTCCCTTTCCCCATGCACCGTAGTGTTTCCCTCTTCTCTCGTCACTCCGGTCTTTCGCCCCTCTCCTTTGCTCCGCTCCATGCCATCTCCTGCCAGCTTTCCTCTCCAGTTCTCGTCAATTGCCTTGACTTCCCTCCACCACCTTGCACCCCTCAACACTCTCCACCTTCTTCTCCTCCACACCCCCACCTCTTCTCCCCTCTCTCCTCTCTCTTTCTATCTTCTCCTTCCACTACCGGCCTCTGTTGCTCCTTGCTCCCCTCACGAGCATCAGTCAGCTGGGCGGCAATCAGCTCACCGGCTCCATCCCTGCTTCCTTCTCCAAACTCGTCAACCTGCAAGGCTTGTGCGTTGCTCCTCCTCCCTCTGCTCCTCCTCCCTCTGCTCCTCCTCCCTCTGCTCCTCCTCCCTCTGCTCCTCCCCTCTCTGCTCTTCCTCTTTTCTCCTCGCCCATCTTCCTTTGTTTCCTGTCTCTCATCCCACCATTCACTCCTTTTTTTCGCAACAGGTGATCAAGCAATTTGTAATTTTCTCTCAATTGCTCCCCCCCCGTTCGCCCACCCTCCTTAACCTCCGTCCCTCCTCACCCTTCCCCATCTCCCCCCCCGCCCCACACCCTTCCCAGTCTTCCTCTCCCCACCCTTCCCAATCTTCCTCTCCCCACCCTTCCCAATCTTCCTCTCCCCACCCTTCCCAATCTTCCTCTCCCCATCCTTCCCAATCTTCCCCTCCCCACCCTTCCCAATCTTCCCCTCCCCACCCTTCCCAATCTTCCCCTCCCCACCCTTCCCAATCTTCCCCTCCCCACCCTTCCCAATCTTCCCCTCCCCGCCCTTCCCAATCTTCCCCTCCCCACCCTTACCAATCTTCCCCTCCCCACCCTTCCCAATCTTCCCCTCCCCACCCTTCCCAATCTTCCCCTCCCCCACCTTTCCTCATCTTCCCCTCCGTCATGCCCCAACGTCCGCTCGCCCGACTGCCGTCTCACTCACTCACTTGCTCCCCCCATGCAGCTACATGTGGAACAATCAGCTGAATGGGTCAATGGATATTCTCACCAGCTTTACCGCCTTGCAGCAGCTGTGAGTCATGCTGCTGCCCATGCTGCCCTGCCACCCATGCTGCCCTGCCACCCATGCTGCCCTGCCACCCATGCTGAGCCTAACATGTGAACCATGCCGTGTTACCTACCGTGTCACACTCTATTGTGCCATGTCACACTGTGTAACGCTGTGTGACGCTGTGTCCGTCAGTCTGCCTTCCTGGATGAAACTCCAGCAACAAGGACGAGTGACAAGCTTGTGGCTTAGCCCCACCCCACGTCCTTTTGAGAATTCTCAAAAGTAAAATCCCCACGCCCTTCTGCGTACAGCATTGCCCTCCTCTTTCTCTCTGCCCATGCGTGCACCCCTTGTGCTCCGCAGAGCCATTCAGTACAACCAGTTCACGGGGTCCATTCCCCGTGACGTTTGGAAGCTCCAGGCTCTCAACCATTTGTCAGTCACACACACCATGCCCATGCCCATGCCCATGCCCATGCCCATGCCCATGCCCATGCACATTCCCAAGCACATGCCGATGCCCATGCTTGTCACTTGTGAGCCGCCTCAACAGTACAACGGGGGTCCTTCTCACACGACTGGGCTGCTCCTGGCTCTCAACCACTTGTCAGTCACACCATGCACATATGCTTGCGGTGCATGCGCTCCATGCACGTGCACACACATACGCTGTTACACATGCACATGCACATGCACATGCGTAGGCGCATTCACGAACTTGCGATGCAATGCAATGCACACGTCAAGAGTGTGAGCCACAGGCATGCGTGTGAGCCACAGGCATGCGTGTGAGCCACAGGCATGCGTGTGAGCCACAGGCATGCGTGTGAGCCACAGGCATGCGTGTGAGCCACAGGCATGCGTGTGAGCCACAGGCATGCGTGTGCGCCACAGGCACGCGTGTGCGCCACAGGCATGCGTGTGCGCCACAGGCATGCGTGTGCGCCACAGGCATGCGTGTGCGCCACAGGCATGCGTGTGCTGTGCACCATTGCACTGGCGCTCCCAGGCGAGCTGACTTCTGAGTCGACTCAAAAGTCAGCCCGAGTGTGAGCCACAGGCATGCGTGTGCTCAATGCACTGGCGCACCCAGGCGCCCACCATCATTCACATCCCCGGAGCCCCTGTAACCCTCGCCGCCATAGCCCTTTTCCTGCCCTGTCGCCCCTCTGACATCCCTTGACCGCATCCCCTTGCTGCCTCTCCTCGTCCCCACTGCCTCCTCCCAGATCCCCTGCTATTTCCTGCTATGTCCTGCTATGTCCTGTTATGTCCTGTTCCCTGACACAACTCTTTGCTGTGGTCCCTGCAATACTGGCTTGGCTCTTTTGATGACACGGGGTACGGGTCATGGGTCATGGGGCATGGGGCATGCATGGGGCATGGGCCATGCATGGGGCATGGGGCATGTTGCATGGGGCATGATACATGCGGTGCATTGGCAGCGGTGTAGCGAGCAACAAGTTGACGGGAGCCATTCCAACGACCGTAGGCAGCCTCGTCAACCTCACCTACTTGTCAGTGCCATCACCACCTTGTCAGTGCCATCACCACCTTGTCAGTGCCATCACCACAGCCCCAGCCCACCCCTAAAGAGACTAAGTAACGTCACAGCAAAGAAACCACCACAGCCCACCCCTGGGCCCGTATCTCATGGTTCTTCCCTACACGTGCATTCGCGTTCAGCAGTCTCCTGTTTGCCTAACACCTGCTGCATGCATCCATGCCCTCGCTGCACGTGCCGCTATGAGGTGACTTTTGAGTCGACTCAGAAGTCGCCTTTTTCTATGCATACATTCAAGTTCACCTGTTTGCCTAACATCTGCTGCGTCCATGCCCGCACTGCGCGTGCCTGTGTGCCCGCTTGTCTTTCAATTTCTCTGCGTCCTTGCTCTCGCTCTCCCTCCCATCTCATCCACCACTTCCCGCACCCCTTTTCCACAATACCGCATGTGTGTGTGTGTGTGTGTGTGTGTGTGTGTGTGTGTGTGTGTGTGTGTGTGTGTGTGTGTGTGTGTGTGTGTGTGTGTGTGTGTGTGTGTCTGTGTGTGTGTGTGTGTGTGTGTCTGTGTGTCTGTGTGTGTCTGTGTCTGTGTGTGTGTGTCTGTGTGTGTGTGTGTGTGTGCGTGCGTGCGTGCGTGCATGCGTGCGTGCGTGCGTGGGTGGGTGTGTGTGTGTGTGTGTGTGTGTGTGTGTGTGTGTGTGTGTGTTGACGCGTCGCACCCATCGTCTCCTCCTCCACCGGGCCAACGGTGCTGGCAATGCTGCTCGTGGTGGTGCCACTCGCTCGCTGTGCATCCTCCGTCCATCCACCCTGCGTGAATCGGCACGGGCCACGGCAGCAATGTGTCTCAGAACATGCTAACCGGCTACCTACCTGTCTCCATGGTCGCCCTCACCAAGCTCGAATACCTGTACGCACCACGCACCATCGTTTGTCTCTCAAAAATATCTCTCTCTTTCTCTCTCCCCTTCTATCATCATTCTATGGGTTGTACCAGTAATTCACTCCGTATGTGCACCTTTCTCCTCTCACCTCAAAACCCCTGCCCACACAGCCCCTCTTTCCTTTCCCCCTCGTCGGTGCCTTATTCTTCTTGCAGCTATTCCGCTTGTCACCTCTCCCTTTCTCGCCTCCTTCTCTAATCCACCCTTCCTTCTGAGAATCGGTTTTGCCTGACTCCTCTCGTTTCCCCTCTCCGCTCCGTCCCCCCCTGCTCCTCCCCCTCTGCTCCTCCCCCTCCTCCTCCCCCTCCTGCCTCGCTCACTCTCTCCTCGCAGTGAGTACACGCCGCAGGTCCCTCCAGGGCTGGTGACGTGTCCACCGAGTGAGAAGGTGCAGTGTGGAGCAATGGAAGCCACGGGCAACAGCATCATCGTGCCCTACTGCACCAAGTGCTCCGACTTCTGCATCTTCTGCTTCGTGCAGAGTGAGTGACGACTCTTGAACCGCCTCAAAGGTCGTCTCTTAACCCGCAGTTTTTTAGGCGCCGCAAACGTCATCTCTTTACCCGCCCGCAGCAGCATCATCGTGCCGTACTGCACCAAGTGCTCTGACTTCTGCATCTTCTGCTTGCAGAGTCAGTCAGCTGTGCGCAGCGCAGCTCGCTTGTGTGCAGAGTGGGCAATGTCGGGTCTGATCTCACTTCTCCCCCATCTCCCATCTCCATCTCCCATCTCCCATCTCCCATCCCCCATCTCCCATCTCCCATCCCCCATCTCCCATCTCCCATCTCCCATCTCTCATCTCCCATCTCCCATCCCCCATCCCCCATCTCCCATCCCCCATCTCCCATCTCCCGTCCCCCATCCTCCATCTCCCATCTCCCATCCCCCATCTCCCCTCTCCCATCTCCCATCCCCCATCTCCCATCCTCCATCCCCCATCCCCCATCTCCCATCCCCCATCCCCCACCTCCCATCTCCCATCCCCCATCTCCCATCCCCCATCCCCCATCTCCCATCCCCCATCTCCCATCCCCCATCTCCCATCCCCCATCCCCCATCTCCCATCTCGCATCTGCAAATGTCTCTTCCCCCTGCCTCTTTGCGATTGTGCTAAGCTTTCCTTTCTTTGCTCAAACCCCACCCCTCACCCCACACCTTTCGTCCCTTCCCAACCCCCCCTCCCCTCGCCAACATCATCGTCCCCTTGACTGTATTGCAGCTGTGGTCAAGTTCCCACCACCAGCACCACCAGTCAGGCCCCCTCCAGCAATCTCCCCACCACCACCACTCCCTTCACCCCCACCACCCGCTCCCCCCATCTCACCTCCCCCCCGTTCACAAACGCCCCCTCCTCCTTCCCCTCCGCCCTCTCCTCCCCCTCCTTCCCCTCCTACCTCGCCTCCCTTCGTTCCATCGCCCCCTCCTCCGCCTCCACCTTCCTCCGCGGGGCTATCAGTGGGGGCCATTGCGGGGATCGCCGTGGCGGGTGTTTCCGTCCTCGCGCTGCTGCTGCTGCTGCCGCTGCTCTTCTTCCGCAGGCGAAAGGCACCAAGGCCGCTCTCGCAGATTGACAATGATGCCGCTGCTGCAGCTGCTGCATCCGCTGCGGCCGCTGCTGGTGCTAGCGCTGGTGCTTCAGGTACATAAGGGTGGTCGGATTAGTCTCCTTTTGAGTGGTGGGTGGGTTGCTCAAGGTATATGGAAGGCACTTTCGATAATTCTCAAAAGTGTCATTTTGAGTCGGCTCAGTGGTTTAGGTCCGTAATGGTTTTTCTCCTCGGGTACGGGAATATGACAGTGTGTTTCTGAGTGAGCTCATCTGGCGGTATACCGGCAGGACAAGGACGGTGACTTGTGGGGGTGAGTTCTTGAGATCTCCCTAGGATCTAGCAAAGTACCAGCACTCTTTGAGTGAGCTGACTGAACAGCCGCCTTGAAACGCCTCTGCCCATTCCTCTCCTGCAACCCTCGCCCTCACCCCTCTCCGCCACCCCTCTTCCCAGCTCCTCCCCTCAGCCAGTGCGAGTGGGTCCAGGTCCCTTGGGGTCGGCAAAGGCAGCACCAGGGGCCGTGGAGGGTTCGACGGTATGTCGGCAGCACCGACTGGACGTGCTGGCAGCGGCCTCGGGCATGTGAACTGAGGCCAACAATATCGTTCAAGTCTGATCTGATCAACGCATGCCTCAATACGAAACTCCTCCGCCCACTCCTCTCATGCAAACCTCTCGCACACCCTGCTCCCCCTCCCCTCTCTACAGGCAGCGCGAGTGGGTCCAAGGGTCCCTCGGGGCCAGCGCAGGCGGCGGGACCGGCGGTGTGTCGGCAGTACCGGCTGGACGTGCTGGCAGCGGCAACGGGCATGTGGGCGGAGGCCAACAAGATCGGCAGCGGGGGGTTCGGGGACGTGTATCGTGCTGAGGACCCCGCCGACCCCTCCACGCTCTGGGCTGTCAAGCGCGCCAAAGTGCTCACCAATGACTTCCGACGGGAGGTGGGCAGGCTGGGGTGTGGATGGGACTAGCAACTGAGATCCCACTGCTCACCTGTGACTTCTGCCGCGAGATGAGGGCAGTGGAGTGGGGAATGACGATTAATGGGGGCTGGGAATAGTGGGGTATGTGTGTGAGGGGAGTTTGTTTTGCTTAATAAGACTGGAACCAGCATGTGCTTTCAAGGACTTCTGGAGGGAGGTGGGGATAGCGGGATGGGAGCTTGTTACGATACGAGGGGCTAACGGACTGTGCCACTGGAACCAATCTGCACCTGAGCCCAGCCACCTCTTGTGCTCACCATACTCCCTATCTGTTGATAATTCTCTCTCCTGCCTTTCCTCAAGTTTTGAGACGTCTCAAAACACCACCTATCCACGTGTCCATGTTCCAATCCAATGCTTCCCACACCTCCCTCCTACTCCCCTTCGCCATGTGCCTGTGCGCATGCAGGTGAACGAGATGGCATCGAAGCACCACCCACACCTGGTGCGGCTGCTGGGGTTCTGCATCGACGTCAACGAGGCCACGGAGCAGACGGAGCAGATCCTCATCTACGAGTTCATGCCCAACGGCGACCTCGAACGCTGGCTCGGCCCTGGTGTGTTCAACTCACTCACTACTTACTTACTTGCCTTGCCCTCTCTTGTCCTGCCTCTTTTCTCCTCACTTGTCCTCTCTTGTTCTCCGTACTTGCGCACAAGCGCATACTTGGTTTACTCTCTTGTGGTAATTTGGTGACTTGTGTGAGGCTTGCTTGTTTGGGTAATGACTCCCAGCCTATAACTCACCGCACCTCCCTGCCTTTTCCTCCTCTTCCCCGTGTGTCACTTTTGTTCCTTCCTTCCTTCCCCGCTGCAGGTGCCGCCCAGCCCCTCTCTCTGCTGCAGCGCTTGGATGTGATGATCGGAGTGGCGGAGGGGTTGCAGTATCTGCACAGCTTTGGCATCGTGCATCGCGACATCAAGCCCGCCAACATCCTCATTGATAGGAACATGCAGGTGAGTGAGTGTTTGCATAAAGATACGGCTACTTAGAGTAGTGCCTACCTGGGCACCTCCAGTCAGCACCTCCAGTCAGCACCTCCAGTCAGCACCTCCATTCAGCACCTCCATTCAGCACTTCAGGTTCATGCAGGTGCACAACGCACTCGCATGTGCTGCACGATGCTCCTATTCAGCAAATATATCAAAAAGAGTCCTTCTCTCATTGCTTCCTCTTTGTTGGCTGCACGTCCCATCCACGGCAGGCAAAGGTAGCCGATTTTGGGCTGGTGAGGATGGGCGAGGGCACGACCGTGGGAGCCACGCGGGTGATGGGCACACCGGGCTATGTGGACCCGGCTTATTTCAAGTCTCAGAAGGCCACTCCTATGGCTGATGTTCACAGGTATGGGCGATGCGTGCAGTTAAGGGTGACGTGTGCAGGTGTGGTGTATTTTAGCAAGTTTCTTCTATTCCTTAATGTTCCCACGTGCTTCCTTCTTGCACTACCTGCTGTGCTCTTCCATCCCCTCATCATATCCCGCCCTTTGTCTCTCTCCTGTCGTGCCTCTCATACCTCCCGTACCTTCCGTGCCCTCCGCCCTCATAGCTTTGGAGTGGTGATGCTCACGATCCTGACGGCACGCAAGGCCATCTACAACTCGGAGGACAACCAGATCAACCTCAAGCAATGGGTCCGTGCCCACCCGCCCTCCCTGCTCCTGCTCCTCCTGCACATGCCCATGCTCATGACGCTCTTGCTGTGCTCATGCCATGCTCATGACGCTCTTCTCGTTGCCCATGCCCATGCACTAGCATTCGCTGTTCCCCATCTCTCTGTGTGCATGCATGTGCACACCCGCACCTACACCATCACACACTCATCCCCGCGCGTCCTTTATCCGCCTCATCGCACAAAGTGCAATTAATCTCTTCCCCGTCATCCCCTCCTCCCCTTCGCCCTCCTCCCCTCCCTCCTCTCCCTCTCCGCCTCCCACCCTGCCCCCACCAGGTGGGGTGACCATTCACAGCAGCCAAATATGGGGTGACCTTGAAGGACCCGGCTCTAGACGCCCCACCAGACGTCATCCTGCACCTGGCACCCATCCCCATGCATCTTCCCCACCATCACGCCCTCGCCTCCTCTCCCTTCACCTCCCCCCTCCACCTCCCACCCCTCCCCCCACCAGGTGGCCCCGTTCATAGCAGCCAATGACGGGGTGACCTTCAAGGACCCCTCTCTGGAAGCCCCACCAGACATTATCCTGCGCCTGGCACACCTGGCTCTTTCCTGCACCGCCATGCCCACTGCCCTGCGCCCCAACATGATCAAAGTGCTTGCTGAATTGGAGGCTCTGCGCGAGGAGGTGCGCGGTGCGACAGGGGATCAGATGGCGAGGAGGATTGACCGGGAGATTGACGACACGCAGGGGCATGACTTGGAAGAGGAGGTGGCGAATGCGATTAGGATAGGGTCGAGTGGAGGTGGAGTGAGTGGGGGAACGGAGTGAGCGAGTGTGGGAGTGATGAGGAGGGTTGTGTGTGGTGCTGTATGAAAGGGTTGTGGGTGTACAGAATCAAGTGATTTGGTAGAAATGTGTGCGTGTGCTGCCGGCTTCATACAGGGACTAGACAATCCCGTGACGCATCCCGCCGTAGTCTTCAGTAGATGGTGGATATGTATATGGATGTGTAGGTAGGTAAATGGATATGGCACGGCCATGCTGTCTGTCCGCACTGACACCGTGACTGGTGACAAGCACCGTGCCCCAGCAGCACAAGGGTAGGTGTTGGTTCAGTCACTGTCACTGACTAGGCTTCCAAGGAATGGAACGTGGGTTACAAATAGACTGGGGGGAGGAGAGGAGGAGCCCCCCCCATGGCCGAAGGATTACCGGGCCACATAGATTGATACGGAGATTGGTACTTCGCTAGTGGAAAGTGGACAAGTGGCAATGGCTAGTGGAGGTTACAAAGAGTATACCGTCATCGCCCGGATAGTAGACATATACGTCTTATCTCGTACACTACTCAAAATGCTTGGGTTATCTTGTATTTGGGATGGTTTAGGGTGTCTTAAGTCTTATAAATGGAAAAAAATACAAGTACTCAGTAACATTTGCCAAGTGTGTAGAAACTACCCAGGGGCCAGATTCATTGAAACAGGACGACCTCGGTGGTGATGCATGCAGCGCTCCCACTTGCCACGTGAGGGATGCAGCAAAGTTGCCACTGCTGGCAACATCCATGGATGCTTCCAGAACGCTGCTGGCAGCACGATGGCAGCGTGAGGGCTGTCCTCTACGAGGAGATTCCTCGTTGAGGAGCAGCTCGGCACCTTTGGAAGGGGCACTCTGGCTGGGGGGGGGGGTAGTCGGGCTTGAGCTTCATTTGGTGCTCAAGGAGGTTGAGATCTCAACTCAACCTTTGCTCTCGGCAGGCTTAACCATGCGCAGCAAAGTCCCCGTAGGCACGTCCTCACCTCGCCCTCACGTGCAGGTGAATAACTACGGGCGAATTAACTCGCCCGGTGATGACATCCGCGTAGCCATGGCGAAGAATACGCGCAAGGCGGGAAGATATACCGCCGCCTCCGGTGCGAGCTGTGACGGGGACGACGGCGACGACGAACACGGCGACGAGGGCGACGAAGAACACGGCGAGGACGGCAAGGAGGATTGGCCGGAGAACGGCCACGACGACATCGCTTAGGGGGATGAAATAGCTATTGCCGACATAGACGAGGACAAATGGTGGAATCGGCCGGTTGGGAGTGACGACGAAGTGGAAGAGTGGCGGGCTGGTGATTCGGACAATGAGGGTGCAGATGCTGATGGTGAGCATGCGGAGGCAGCGGCGCATGCAACGGGAGCGACGGTGGATGCGAATGCAGAGGCTGACGACGAGGCGGATGCGGAAGCGAGGACGGAAGAGGAGGCGGAAGCGGATGCCGATGCTGTTGCGCCCGCGGATGTGGCCGCAATTGCGGATGCGGATGCTGTGGCAGAGGCGGATACGGATGTTGCGGAGGGAGGTGCTGATGCTGTCTTATTTGACGGTGAAAACTCCGATGACGACCCGTGGAACATCACGGGTGACGACGATGTTCCGCTTCTGAAGCGGAGGCTGCGTCATCGCCTATAGTCCAAGCCGAAGCGTGCCCGCGTGGTGCTCTCTGATGACGACAGTCCGGGGGAGGAGCGTCAACCGCGCATCACTGCTGCAGACAAGGGGAAAACCAAGGTCGCAGAAGCCCCTGCTAAGGCCACCGTTCGTCGCCGCACAAGCAACAAGAAGCGGAAGAACGACGGCGACCCCGGATCCAGCACGGGTGCTGCTAAGAAGAAGAAGAAGAAGAAAACGCCAAACACGGACGACATCGTGGTCAACGAGGCGCTCGGCAGCGACGATGACTACGCGGAGGCAGCAGGCCCGATTCCTTCATTCCCTGAGAAGGCGAAGCCGAAAGACCCCACCCTCCATAACCCCAACTCCCGTCCACCTTCCCCCTCGCAGCAAGGACAATAAGAAAAGGCGACGCGGATGGATCGTACGCGAGAAGCTCAAGTGGCGCGCCGCTACCAGGAGCTCGACTCCTTGAAGAAGACATCCTTGGAATCTACCGCATCCATCGCCTGCATCAGACGCTGGAGTGCGGAGGCTGCTGCGGGCATCTACAAGGGAGCGGCGAACTGCCGCAAGCGGATGCACGGGGGGGACCTGTCAAAGTATATGCATGTTATATGCGTGTAGGCTGTAGTGGGGTAGCCAATATGGGGTACAGCCCCTTTTAGGGTTTCATATTTGTACCCGATACTTTCATAGTTCATTCATTCCTGCTGCTAGATTCTAACATGGTTTTAGAGCACTAGGTCCGTAGGACCGTTTTTTTTCGGGCCCACCTACCATTGCGGTTACCGTGCTACCCCAAGTCTTGTCCTGCCTACCTTGCCTTGTGACGTGCTGCGCTGCGCGCGCCGTCCTGCAGCCCTCGCGCTGCCTACTGCTGCCCTAGGCCA